AATTCTTTTAATGGAAGAATGGTGTTTTCTTCTGTTAAAGAATGTTGGTTTAAATTGTTTCCGTTGTCATAATTTATTTTCTCTTCTATTCCGTTCTATTTAATAACTCCCTTAACTGTATCAATCACCGCTCCTATTTTTTTCAATAGGTTATAGCCGATCAGTAGATCTGAGTCTAGCCCTTCTATTTCATAAAAAGTATACCGTGTATCCAAAATAGTTATTATATGATAATATTTAATTATTGAATATCCATTCACTGTGGATACTCTTTTGTGTATTGGAAGCTCATTCTTATTTTTGTAAACTCCAGTTCTAATATAACACGAGGTTGCCCCAGTGTCAATTAATATTTTTAATTTTTTATTTATTTTCGGGTCATTTCTAAATAAGTAGGGTAAGCCTACTCCTGACTTTTGTCTAAAAAATGGTTCTCCTCAATGTTGTTTAGTCTCATTGTCTTGTTAGCCGGTTGGTTAACAGTTCCAGTTGGTACCCTTTTATTTTGGGCTTGTCCTTGCTGAGTATTCTGGGTCTCAAACTTTTTTGTTTGATCCCACTTGTTTTGGCTATAATTATTATTTTGATATTTATTATAGTTTTGATTATAGCCGTTGTTAGCCCTATTCTGAACCTGGATAGACTCGTCTACTTCCATTGGTTCTGGCTTATTTTGTGGCTGCCTATAGGTGTTCCACTGATTTTGTTGGTTATTATTAAATCTACCCTGGTTCCAGGAATTATTTTTGTTCTGATTATAATAACCATAATTATTTTTGTTCTGGTTGTTGTCATGATTAAACCTTAAATTATTACTATTTCGCTGGTTATTGTAATTGTTGTTTTGTTGTCTTTGCTTTTGGTTGAAATGTGTTTGTCCATTTCCACCAGAGTTTTGCTCACTATTTTTTCTCTGAGTGGTTGAGAAACTGTTTGCGAAATGCGCCCTCATGTTGTTGCTTTCCAATTCCTGAACTATGACCATTGCATTCGGTAGGTCAGGTGGATTCATTGAGAAAATTGTGTCTGAAATTTGGCCGTTTAGGCCGGTAATGAAAACTCTAAGAGCAGTCTTCCTATGTTTTTCATTTATTTCTGCTGTTATCGGTTTGTTTCTCCCGTAGGTCATAATTGTTTTATTAATAAGTAGAGTTAACTTTCTATTAACTGTACCATAATAATCCATAATTGATAATTTTCCCTGACTCAAAACACTTAGTTTCTGTTCAATAATATGAATAGGACGTTTGTCGCTAAAGACAAAGTCAAGTCTGGCCATTATGGCATCGAAATTTAATACCGTACCGTTATGGGTTAAGGCATCGTTTGCCATTCCCGTTATTTTGTTTCTTAATATCGATAGGGCGGAATAAAATCTTTCACTCCCTCTGGCATATTGCCCCATGGCTATTTCAGCCGATTCTCTCCAGCTTACATATTTATCTTCTTCTCCTTTATATTCCCTAACAGATTTGATGATCTCATAAGATGTGTCGCACTTTATATTTGGATCTATAATCTCTATCTGATAATCTTCAACCGTTTTAATTTTATGGGAAAGCTGCGATCTTAAGTTAACGATCTCTTCCTTTAATGGATTCAATTCAAAATTTACAATTTGTTTAATTAAATCTCCTACATTTAACATGGTATTGTTTGTTATCGCCTGATGATGTTCTTGAGGCGAACTTATGTGGAGTCTTTTATTTGCTCCGTTCTGGCTTGTTGAAGGTTCTGACATTTTGAGAATATTTTCGAAATCAGAAATTAATTCTTCCACTTTGTATAATTATATTTTTTTACAAATTTCTTATTAAATAATAATAATAATAAAAAAGAGATTATATCGCTCACGAATCGTCCTCCTTATTTTTCTTGTCGTTGTTTTTGGGGTTGTTGCTTTTTCTTGGATGATCCTGCTTGGGGTCGTCCTTCCCTTTTTTTGTATCTTGGGGTCTCCCTTCCTTCTTCGGGTTTTTAAATTGATGTCTTCCTTCTTTCTTCAGTGTTTATTTCTTGGCGAGGGATTGCCCTTCAGCCTTTTTGTCTTTAAATGTCTTTTCGAAGATTTGTTTGTAGATTTTTGTTTTTAGATATTTTTTTAATTAAATTGTTTTTCACAATGGTTATTTATTTCGATGAATTTTGTTGTCACTTTTTAATTTTTTTATTTTGTCCGAGCAGTGAATTTATGTTACGAACACTATTTTGTAATTTGAGAGTTTAAGGGGATTATTCCATTAATTATTTTCCACCTTATTATTTTTTGATCAACACAAACTTTTTATTTTTTTGCCGGTTGTATAGAGTTTAAGGGGATTATTGCATTTATTAATTTCCACCTTATTTTTATCAACACAGGCTTTATATTTTCGTCGGTTGTATCGGGTTGTTGGCCGCGCAAAATTCCTTTTTCACTTTTAAACTTTTTTGGGGTTTATTTAAAAGCTTTGCTTTAAATTGATGTCTTCCTTCTTTCTTCAGTGTTTATTTCTTGGCGAGGGATTGCCCTTCAGCCTTTTTGTCTTTAAATGTCTTTTCGAAGATTTGTTTGTAGATTTTTGTTTTTAGATATTTTTTTAATTAAATTGTTTTTCACAATGGTTACTTATTTCGATGAATTTTGTTGTCACTTTTTAATTTTTTTATTTTGTCCGAGCAGTGAATTTATGTTACGAACACTATTTTGTAATTTGAGAGTTTAAGGGGATTATTCCATTAATTATTTTCCACCTTATTATTTTTTGATCAACACAAACTTTTTATTTTTTTGCCGGTTGTATAGAGTTTAAGGGGATTATTGCATTTATTAATTTCCACCTTATTTTTATCAACACAGGCTTTATATTTTCGTCGGTTGTATCGGGTTGTTGGCCGCGCAAAATTCCTTTTTCACTTTTAAACTTTTTTGGGGTTTATTTAAAAGCTTTGCTTTAGAATTTTTTAATCACACGGCCCCACGTTGGGCGCCAATTAAGTTTCTCACTAGTGAATTGATTAAAAAAATTTATTTTTATTTTTAACAATCACTTATTCACTATTACAATTTTACAATAGGTCGAACTTATTTAATTCACTGCTCTTGTATTTATTCTCGAATTATTGTTCTGCTCGATTCGGATCTCAAAAACGGACCGCCTGCTCTCTAGTTCAATGATCAATAATCAAACCTCGGCTTAAGAGATTTTATCCCCAAAAATGGATAAAGAGAATGACTCAAGAGAGTCGGAAAATAGGATGATGCAATTTGCCAATTAAATTCGAAGTCCAATCTTGGCCGGAAATTGGTGTTTACATTAGCGGAGTTTAGGGACCGCTTTGGGGATCTTTTTGTTTACGTTAGCGGACTCGGGACTCGCTTTGGGGATCTTTTGTTTACGTTAGCGGACTCAGGGCTCGCTTGGGGCTCCGATTGTTTACAATATCGGTTCGGATGTTTACAGCATCCGTTTGATTCGGACTGCGTGAAATTGATCTGGGTGGGAATGATTTGGAGGCCTGCTTGGCAGAAATAGCTGACCACGGATTTATCTCGGGTCTGTCAGAGTTCTTTGGAAATTAGCTCTCGGCTCAAAGTTGTTTATAAATTGGGTAAGAGCCCCTAAATAATGTGTCATATAACTTGCATATTCGAAATGAACTCCGGTTAACTCCGGTTTTGAAGAATTGTCAATTTTGTAGCTAGCATCAACATTTAAGAAAATCTGGCAACTTGGCACATTGAATAAAGAAGTCTTTAACAAGAGCTCAACATGAATTCAACATATTGGCGACGAGGAAAAAAGTGAAAAATGTAGCCAAAAGAAAAAAATTATTCTTTTGTAATATCGTGTCGAGTAGTCGTTGATTTCCATCAGGATGCCGACAGATGACGGTTTGATCCTAATAATCCTTGCTCAACAGCAGCAATTTACAAAAGACATTCTGGAATAACAAAGAAACTGGATGCAAGCAATGAACCCAGCATTTTAACGCGTACATAGAGTAATGAACTATATAGAGGCGCCAATTGCTCAGCCGCTCTCTTTAGATAATGAGGCTATGATGCCACCTAGGCGAAAAATGCTTATTTCCCCTCTTTTTGACAAGTTCGATCGAACTTGTAATTCCTTCCCACCTCATTCTGCACCGCTCTTGCTCACTGTTTTGTTTTTGTTTTTAATCGAAATCCCTATTGCTGTTGCTTCACACCTAAGTTAGCTTCAAACTTGGCCTTGAATTGGCTGTTAGCAGAGGTTGGGCAGAGGTTCGGGCAGAGCAATTGAAACCTCTATATAGATTCTTACTCTATGACGCGTATTCGGTCAGTGCAGAAATTAAGCAAAAAGCTTACTATCTTTCGTTGTGTGGTACATACATATTCGAACTTTTAAAAAATCTATTCGGGAGCAACAAATTAAACACGTACACATACACGCAGCTTACAGAAAAGCTAACGGAACGTCTCGCCACAAAACGGCACATTGTTGCTGCTCGGTATGAGTTCTTTAAGAGAGAGCAGCTCTTAAAGAAACCGTTTCCAAGCAAGACCCAATAAATGCAATTCACACCTATACAAAGAAACCCTTACTTGGTGAAGGTGAAAGTGATGCCAGATCCAACCAAATTGCGCTAAAATCTTGCTCTGACTGTGGACACAATCAACCCAAAGAGAAATGCAAGTTTCGCGATGACGTATGTCACAAGTGCGGTAGAAAAGGACACAAAGCTTTTGTCTGTATGTTGAAGCAAGACAATAATAAATGGCAAAATACTAAAAGCCGCAATGACAAAGCAAACGAAATGGAGACGATTGAAGCAGAAGAATCAAGTGTTCCCGAGTATTACAAGCGTTTGGTCATACACCAATACCATTGCTAGCGGAGTTGCACGCTACTGCAAAGTGCCCTGCAAGCAAAAGGGCGATATTTCTATCTCCTGTCGTCCAGAAGTAACTTCTTAGTATCTTCTGCGCGATAGAAAGACGATAGTACACATTTTACAAAAACATTATACATTAGGGGTTGGGATCGCAAAGAAGTAACTTCTGAGACACTTCTGCGCGACAGAAAGACGATAGTACACGTTTTACAAAAACAAAATTAGTGGAAAAAACACGCGATGAAAAGAGGTCGCGGTAATTTTCCGTTTCCCTTTTTTTCGCAAAATTTTTTGGGTCTTCCTTTTGACCCACGCTAATGTTTTTCACACGAGCGTCATTTCGTTGCGAGATTTGTCTGCGGACAGTGCGGCTTTATATTAAATTTGTGCGTTTTAAAAATATAGCTTTGTTTTTTTTTAAATGTTTTTAATTGCTTAACATATTTAAGTGTCCCTCTCAACAAAGGATGCGAAATTACGTGCTCATCGTAAGCTGTACGATTATTTAAAGCTATTTAGGGACAAGCTAGCTGTGGACATTACTTGGCTTTTAACTGCGGAGAAACCCAGCATCCAACGATTCTCAACATATTTCATTGTAAAAGGTAATGTCAAGTAGTTTATTTTTTATTTGACTGAACAAAAAACATTTTTTGTTTCTGTTTCTTTTAGAAATAATTATTAATAAATTTTTTCTGTCGACCTAGCCGGACCTAAATAACATTGTTCAGCAAAATTTCCTACATGCCAGGGATCGTGTATACAAGCGGACAAAGCCTTTATACAAAAAACAAATGAAAAATATTGAAAGTATAAGAAAATATATTTTTATTCAAATTTTCTAGTTCGAAAAGACTCTCTTTAGTACCTTCTACAAGTGTATGTAAAGTCACTTCTGAGTGACTTCCAGAAGTGACAACGGCGAAACTTCGAGAAGTTACTTCATTTCGGATCGCGGAAATTACTCCAGTCGGGAAGAAATGTGCCACTTATGCGACACTTCTCGGAGTCACTTCGGCGACACTTCCAGAAATGACTTCGGCGACGCTTCCAGAGGTAACGCAGAAGTGACTTCGAGAAGTGTCGCCGAAGTGGCACATTTCTTCCCCACGGTAGTCACTTCCGCGATCCGAATGCGATATTTTCGTCATTTTCACTTGCGTTTACTTGGGTGAAGGAGTTAGAAGTACAACCAAAAGTACAAGCAATTAACTTTGATATATTTAATAACTCAATGGTTTAAAAGTGAAAGAGAAACGATTCCCAGGTAAGTCTGTCGCAGACCAATAATTTTGTAAACAGTGAACGCTAACGCTAACAAGGAAGAACGCTATAGTCGAGTGCCTCGACTATCAGATACCCGTTACACAGCTAATGGGACCAAAGGGAAATGGAGATATGCGCCACCTACCCGTGATCTCAATATATGGTTATGTGTGGGGTAGACAGATATAAGCGTTATGCGCGTTAGAGTGGGCGTGGCAACCAATACCATACCAAGACCAATACATATCAGTTAAAATTTTGTATCTAGCATGAAAGTTGTGGGCACCGCTGGTTTGGTCTGTTTGTGGGCGTTAGAGTGGGCGTGGCAATATTTTTTTTGGATCAATCGATAGGTATGGATGAGAACAAAACATTTCAGTTACAATTTTTATTCAAGCATCAAAACTGTAGGAGCCACAGTTTTGGGCGGTTTGTGGGCGTTAGAGTGGGCGTGGCACGCTGCTGAAACAAACTTGCGCTGCGTAAGAAGCTCAGGAATCTGCACGCCAAGTCTCAATAGCCTAGCTTATAGTTTCCGAGATCTCAGCGTTCATCCGGACAGACGGACAGACGGACATGGCTAGATCGACTCGGCTTTATGGAGTCGGAAACGCTTCCTTCTGCCTGTTACATACTTTCCGACGAATCGAGTTTACCCTATTACTCAACGAGTAAAGGGTTTAATAAAGCCATTTTATAAATTTAAGTGCTCTGATAAGCCCGATATAATGCAAATAAATGGGGGCTCTTATTTGCACATCGGCTTAACAAAGCAACTAAGTAAAATAGCCGTCTTAAAAGATACTCCGGATATCTTATGCATTTATGTTAATATTGATGGACTCCCGTTATTTAATAGTTCCCGTGCCCAATTGTGAACCACTTTAGTTAGATTAAATAATATTAAAAATTTCCCTGTTTTGCCAATGGGAGTATTTATGGGGTATAATAAACCCTTTGATTCTGATGAGTTTTTAGATAAGTTAACTAAGGGCATGACATATTAACCCCCTACATTAAATAAAAAAGTTTTTGTAGAGTTTAGAGCAATTATTTGTGATGTACCTGCAAGAGCGCACGTGACAGGCACGCCTGGTCATACTTCCAGCCATGGATGTACAAAGTGCTTGCAGGTAGCCAAAAACGTACAGTACAAAGTGTGAGGATCCCATTTCAGACGAAGGTTTTCGTGCTAGAAAGTATCCTAGCCATCACACTTCAAAATATTTAAGTGATCAGTCCGCTTTTGAAAAGCTTGGAATTTTAATGGTAACACAAGTTCCCCTTGATTGCATGCATCTGGTAGAACTGGGTGTCATGCGAAAGTTTTTACAAAGACTTTATAATAACAAAGTTGTAGAAAAATTGACAAAAATTGAAATGGAAACTATTTTGAAAATGTTAACATCAAGGAGTAAGTATATTCCAAAAGAGTTTGCACGCAAGCCGAGAACATTGTTAGAGCTTCCGAACTGGAAAGCCACAGAGTATAGACAGTTTTTATTGTATACTGGGATTGTAGCTCTTAAAGATACAGTCAGGATAGATCAATATTATGCATTTTTTTTATTACATTGCGCATATACATTGCTCTGCTCTGAAAAACAACTTGCTACATGTATGCGAAACGATCACAGTAGTCAGATATTCAATCAGTGGTTTGTCCTACGCGTTTGAAAATTATTTGCAAGCTCTCAAGCGGTTTGTCCAAAAACCCACACAAATTATGGACCTAATATATAGAAAAACTAGCGAGGTTGCCCTACAAATAAAAGAAGAGCAGCAGATTAAAACAGAAAAAAAATATAAAAAATGAAATTGAGCGGGAACAGACCCGATAAATTTTGTTTTGTACAGGAAATAGTTCCAATTAAAGTGGAATCTTATAGAAGACGAAGCAGAAATATTTATTTTAGGTAGAACATTTTCAGAGCTTTTTTGTTTTTATGATGAGCCTATTAGTTCATTTCATGTGGGTATATGTGAAGGAATTTTTGAAGAAGATTAAATTTTAGAAAAGTTTCCAGTTACAGAGTTTGGTAGGAAAGCCGTAGGAATTCCTCTCAAAATTAGAATAATATTAATTCCCTTGTTGAGTTTTTCTTAGGTCTTATGCATTTTTTTCTTTTAAAATAGCAGGTGTTTAGACCGTAGGCATTTTATAAAATCGGGCATATAACAGCGAAGGCGCTCTATATATCATATACATTATCATATACATTTATAGTTTACATTATTTTCATTATATGTTTTATTTATTTCTTATTTGTTTTATTATTTTTCATTGTATTTCTTTATTATTTTTTTATATATTACTTTTTGAAAGTTTTAAAATGAGTGTCCCACAACGCTTTTGCCTAAACTGTAATGGTTGACTCAGGATGAGGAGCTGCTATTTCGCGAAAAATGAAAGTGTTGCCAGCACGCTATACACCAGATAAGTTTTTAGTAGCGATCTCTTCCTTCTACCCAGTTATGAGAACGGCGGGTGGAATCCTCTAGTGCCTTAGCTCTTTCGGCGATGGGATGGGTCTGTGTGCCGTCTCTAACTGTCCATACATACTTTAGTTTTTAGGATTCCTACAGAAACTACTTTATATAACGTAACATTGAAAAGAAAAGAGGAGGGAAAAAACAGAGCAAAATTTAAATATACTACTGACAGGCTAACGTTTCAAAAGGTCTTAGCTGATATTTGACACCTGCTTTCTCTACCCACCCAACCATAATCTTTTCGGCTACTCGACGAAGCTACCCAATAGATACTTCCGATTCATAATTTAATTTGCCATGTCAATTAAGGAAACAACACACCTTTAGCAGTTCATGATTTTCTTCCAGGTATTATCCATATTTATTTACAAAGGGACGTTTGTTTATTTAACATTTTCTTTTTTTTTTCAGTAGCTACGATTCCATTATCGTTAGTTGAGTCTGATTAATTAGTGTCTACCGACACCAGAAAATTGTACAAGTTTTCTTACGAATGTACAACGTATTTGTTCGCCGGATTAAATTTATTGAATTGGACATCGGCAACATTATTGGGATTTATAACTAAGTATTTCTTTCTATCACTTCATTATTGGGCGCTTAAAAAACAAGGTTCGAAGATATGAGCGATATGGTGGCTAAACAGCATTACGATTTGTTTTTGGGTCATTATTTTTCTTGGGGGGTTCCGAGTTATTAATATTATGGAACCGAGCGAATATCGTTTTTAATTCGCACGATATTTATAATACATTTACTTGGGTTTTTTTTCTGTTTTTTTTTTCTTTGGGGTAGAATAATTTTAAGGCAATAATCTTTATAAGCTTGCAAGCGGTCACCAAGCTCTCAGTATATATACGCTAAACAGAAAACTAATAAGCCTCCCGATCGGGGTTTACACCACGCTCTGTGGGAAAACACCGAGAGATTGGATCGACTTACAAATAGATCACAACATAGGAGTGCAAGGGCGCATACGTATGACTCACATGGTTAAACTTCCAGCGCTGAAAGGTCTTCCAGCGCGATAGTGATGAGACGGTGTTGTTGTTAGCTGTAAATTATATTTTGGCATCTACACTAATAAAGATTATATGGGCTAACGATGATTTTTTTCAGTGATGGTCGGATTCCACAAATTATTCAATTCCGCAACCACTACTCTTAAAGTATTTTTTTGTTAGAAGGCTACGTAGAGTTAGAAGAGTCTCTGTTCTTCAGGGGTCAGTCGCGATTCCTAGGGGGGTAGTCAATCGACTCGTAGTTCTGCTTCGAATCTGCTTCTTTATTCCTCCGGGGCGTCAATAGATGGGACTGCCTTGACTGCCGGTATTTGGTGGGAACGGATAAGACCTCCCAGACCCGTAAAATCCCAACGCCAGACGACTAATACTGGCTCATGAGATGGTTG